CTGAACCGCCTTGTAGCAATGGAGGCTGCACAGAGGAAGATTAGTCTTCGAATCCCGGTATCTGTACGGGTTGGTGCATGAAGGGCCAGCACATTTCTCCCTCGGAGGAGGGTAACTGCCAGTTTCAGACACAAAAGCTCGGATCAGAAAAACGTCCTATGATCCTGTCTGTTAAAACAGATCTATGTAATCACATCAGCCATTTCAACTGCGCTGTTCGAGAAAAGGGCTTAAGGCTATCTATGATTCTATTGTATTGGTAGGTAAGGATTAAGGCTATCTATGATTCTATTGGAAAACAAGTAAGTACCTCACTGGTTTGGACTGGAGCAGATTTGGAACCTTGTCTTCGGGGAAGGACACAGTCGTACCGTTAGGACCCATGATTGTTCTGATGTAGCTTGTTGCAGCTCTCTCCTCATGAGCAAATCCGTAAGCTTCTCCTTGTTCCCTACAGTTAACCAGAAAATTATTACACATCGATATGGAAGATATTCATCAGTGATGAACCTTTCTGACATGGGAAGAAACGAGGACTTACTTCTTGATGGAGCAGGAGGTAATCCATCAGGAAATTCAATTACATTTGACCCGCCAGATCCAGATGCAAGAGCTCGTTGACGAGTTGTCAAAGTCATTTCCCTCTTCATCTCCATTGACGATTCAGCAGATTCCTTCTGCTGCTTCTTTTGCCCATTCCTATTGCCAGCCTCGTTTTCGTTATCCGAAGCAGATTCGCGCTCTTCTTCCTCATAATCCATATCGTCAGATCCTTTATCTGATCTAGATTTTCCCTTCTCGGAACCTTCCCCATTAGAGACTTCAGAGGGCTTTTGCTGCCTCCTTCCCGACTCCTCAGCGTCTTCTTTGAACGCAGAAGAAGCCCTTAACTTCAATTTTTCCAAATACCGGATCTCATCATCATCATCCTCTTCGCTAAAATCTCCATCAAATACTCTTCTCTTAGGGACCCGCTTGCTCTTGCGAACGGGGCCAGTTGGTTCCCCTTGTTTTTTCCTCCCCATCTCAGAGCTCTCTTTCTCTAGACTGAAATCCTTCCAACGGATTCCCTGAAGACCGACCTTCTTATCTTGAGGGGAGTTACAATCATCTGAATTTTCCTGTGATTACAAACATTTGAATGGAAAAGATAAAATCTCCAGGATTCTAACCGACGAGAAAACCAAGACAGGAAACAAATTAAGCCATAATTAATATTTTTCCATAAGAGCGAGAATGCAAATTGGAATTCGCTTCGTCCAATCATCCGTCTCCACCTGTTTCCGAATGTAAATGTACCACAAAATTTATCTCAGGTTACTGGAGCAAAACACAAAGCATGCAAAAGAGAGAGATATCTACTGATATTTAAAATAGCTCAATACAACCACATTGCAGCAGTATGACAAAAAAGTAACTAAGGCTGTGAAAAAGTGTATGGAGAAGATAAGCAAACACAATAGGAAGGTAATTACTGCAAATGCGGTCGGATGCAAGGGGAATTAAATTACTGTTCATTTTTAGCTCGCTCAGCTGAACATCTCAAGGCTGAATTAGGGTTTTTTTTACCTGAAAATTCTGCATTGAACAAAACCCAGAATCATCCAGAGGTCGATGACTCTTTCTAGATGATCCACCTTCTGATAAGCCATTAGCATGAATAGTGCGAGGCAGGCCACCAACCTTCAGCTTCACTTTCTTAACCTTTCCCTCCGACTCACCTAAATCAGCGATCTCGCCATTTCTACTGTTGAACCCTTCGTTACCTTCAAAGTCTGATTCCAACCCATCTTTCGCCTGGCTTGCATTTTTCCAGTTGGCAGGCGCAAGTACACCTTCGGTGGAACGTACATTCTTATTGAGCCCTCTTCCCCTTCTAGAAACATAGTTGTCTCTTCCAGATTCCGCTACTGTTGCAGCCCTGGACATACATTGACTAAGACTGAACTCTTTCCTTCTAGGGTTGGTATCGAAGGCAGGTATATCATCACTCGAGATCTTGCTGAAATCATCAGAAGGTGTAGATACCAATGGTGATGAACGTTCTTGGCCCTCGAGAAACCCAACTTGGGAATCAGGACGAGGACGGCGACAAGTCAAGCTCCTTTTTTTTCTAACAGTATTCTTCACACCATCGTATTGGCCACCGCCAGCACCCTCCATAGGAGATAAATGTGTATATATACAATACACACACACGCCTTAGTTCTTCCGACAAGCTTCTTAAGGTATGGTTATCTGATGAATGGACGAATGTAATAAGCCATGCCCGAAAACTGGAAAAGACAGAAACGATCAGATTATATATGTTTTGTACGTAAACAGGTTCTCACGCACACACACGCACACACTGAGATAAGGAGAAGATCCCAAGTCATATGTATACGCAAAGACTACAATGAACGCCGAATGAGAGTTGAGTTAAACAAGCAACAGGTTACTGGGGCCATCTCCTGAATAGTGTGCCACAAAATTCGAACCCAAAACAAGATTTTGAAAACGGAAAGATATCTAATCAATGGAAAAGTGCAGATTCATGACACCAACTCAATTCAAACGAGTGATCAAAAGGGTTACTACCATGAACCGCCGGCGCGACCATATTCTCCGGTCTCCATCTATCTCCGCATGCGCCGCCATGGCGTCATTCCCGACTTCCATACCTTCCCCTTCCTCCTCCAGTTTTTCGACAATCCTGTTCATCATCGTATCGGGCAACAATCCCATGTTCATATCCTTCTTTTTGGCTTTGATGAGGACCCGTTTGTCCAGACTTCGCTTATCAACATGTATTCGTCTTGCGGCGATTTGGGTTCTGCTCGTCAAGTTTTCAATGAGTCGGTCTCTCCGGATCTACCGGCATGGAACTCGGTTGTCGATGCCTATTCGAGAGCCGGGTTGATCGACGTCGCGCGGGAACTGTTCGACGAAATGCCTAAGAGAAACGTGATTTCTTGGAGCTGCATGGTAAACGGGTACGTGATGTCTGGGAAATACAAAGAAGCGCTCGATCTGTTCCGAGAGATGCAGTTGCCGAGAGCCGACGGAAGTTTTGTCAGACCCAACGAATTCACCATGGCGACTGTCTTGTTGGCTTGTGGGCGATTGGGTGCGCTCGAGCAAGGGAAATGGATTCACGCTTACATCGATAGGTCCGCTATGGAAGTCGACCTTGTTTTAGCCACAGCTCTCATTGACATGTACGCGAAATGCGGGAGCATCGAAAGGGCGAAATGGGTTTTCAATGCCATGGGACGGAAGAAAGACGTCAAAGCTTACAGTGCCATGATTTCGGGCTTAGCCATGCACGGCCACACAAAAGAATGTTTCGATTTGTTCTCAGAAATGATCAGTAACGAAATAAACCCAAATGCGGTGACATTCATGGGAGTTCTTGGAGCTTGCGTCCATGGAGGTCTGGTTAAAGAAGGAAAACTGTACTTTGCAATGATGAACGAGAAGTTTGGTATTACTCCATCAATCCAGCATTACGGATGCATGGTTGATCTTTATGGAAGAGCTGGTTTGATCCAAGAAGCAAAGAGCTTCATCGGGTCTATGCCTATGGAGCCTGATGTACTCATATGGGGATCTCTTTTAAGTGGATCCAGAGTTATTGGAGACATTGAAACGTGTGAAATGGCACTCAAGAACCTGATCGAGCTTGACCCATCGAACAGCGGAGCCTACGTTCTTCTCTCTAATGTCTATGCGAAAACTGGGCGGTGGAGTGAAGTGAAGTGTATCAGAGACGAAATGGAGGTAATAAACTGACGTTTTGTGCAAGTTCTTGAAAACTTCGGATAAAAACAATCTCAGATTTTTCGTCTTCTCTGATTTCCGACAGGCGAAAGGGATCAAGAAACTTCCGGGATGCAGCTCGGTAGAACTGGATGGAATCATTCACGAGTTCATGGCGGGGGACAAGTCTCATGAAGAGAGCGAAGGGATATACGCAATGCACGAGGAGATAATGAAGAGGCTGAGAATGGAGGAGGGATATGTTTCAGACACGAAGGAGGTTCTGCTCGATCTGGACGAGGAAGGCAAAGAGATGGCACTGTCTGTCCACAGCGAGAAACTGGCGGTGTCGTTCTGTTTGCTGAAGACAAAGGCCGGAACTCCTGTCAGGATCATCAAGAATCTCAGGATCTGTGGCGATTGCCATGTCGTTATGAAGATGATCTCCAAAGTTTTTGGAAGAGAGATTGTCGTTAGAGATTGTAACAGGTTTCACCGTTTCAGTGACGGGAAATGCTCCTGTGGAGACTATTGGTGAAACATTTCTTTGACGAGACCAAATAAAAAAAAATACATTGATTTTGTGAATGGATTGCTTGTTTCGAGTCATATCCACGTGAAAAACGTTTTTCCCAGTTTAATTTTGAAAATCTCAATAATGCATTTGTGAAAATGACGGTTTTGGATTGTGTTATGTTTCCGTTTATTTCAACGAATATATTCATTTTTTTTAATCTCAATAATGTTATTCGATTATTTGTCTCTGATTATTTTATAACGAAAAAAAAATCACCACGAACTCAACTTCTTGGGCTTTCAATATGTAAAGGGGGCTATAAAGTCAATTAGATTTATTACGGCGTCACTTTAGAATTAAGAAAGAGTTGAAGGATGAAATAAGAAATCCTGCTACGAAACGAAAACGAACAAGCAAATTACAATTAAGTCCACTTATACGAAAATCTTCGCAATATAGGGCCAAACAAATAGCTGTTAGAAATTAACGCCTAATGTCTCCGTGTCACCCGTCTCTCTCCCACACAATTTTCAAATAACTGTATCGTCGTCATCATGTGCACAAGTCTCTCCGAGTTTGCAAATAAATGGCTCAAGAGCCTCCACAACAAATAGCCGAGAGCCCACCACTCTCATCAGTTCAAACTTGCGCATCCGTCTCTCTGTCGGCTGATCTCCGGTGGAATGCGATCTGGACGCAGTCCTCCGGTACGATTTTGCATGGATCTCTTGGCTTGTGGTTCTCTCTGTTTCTCATTCTGCCTTGTATCGTTCGAGAATTTTGTAATTTTTCTCTACTTCCTTTGAGCTATTAGGTTTTGGCTCTTGATTTTGCGAAGATCTGATGTTGCATCTGAACTTCTGATGAATGCCTTAGATTTGTTTTTTCTTTTCCTGGAAATGGTTACTTCTGGTGCTGGCTTTCGGTGGTAAGTCAATGGATACTGATCCGATTTCTTTGGACAGAGTTATGTTTTTCTCGTGAAACTGTGTTTCGAATGATTAAGCTGAATGTTGCAGATTCTTAATGTTCTCAGCATCTTTCGTATGTCAGGTTCATTTGTCCTGGTGATCTCAAGAGCTAGTTGTGTTCAGTTGACTTATCTTATTGGGGATTAAACCAAAATGACCTCGATCCTTAATCAGACCGAGGTCCTTGGACACATCCGATGTGAAAGCTACTTCCTGTTTTCTGGAGAAACTGTTCTTTCAGATGGTCTTCGTGCCGCCTTATATTTCCTCGGTCTTGGCTACTGCTTTGTCGGGTTGTCGGCCATTACTGCAAGATTCTTCCTGTCTATGGAGAATGTTGTTAAACATTCACGTAAAGTGGTTGAGATAGATCCTGTTACTAATTCTGAAACTGTCACGTACAAGAAAGTTTGGAATTTTACGATTGCAGACATCAGTTTGTTGGCATTTGGAACCAGCTTTCCTCAAATATCATTGGCTACCATTGATGCAGTACGAAATGTTGGGGAGCTGTACGCTGGAGGTTTGGTCCTTTCAATACTCTTTGTTACTTGTGCATGGTAACTGGAGTTAATACAATCTGCATTTTTTCCTTTTCGGGTAATCAAATGGGTTGTTGGAAGACCATATCACATATCACATCCCATGAATGGTTTACACCCTGTCTAATATTTCTTCTCACACCATGTTTTGTACGTAGGTCTCGGTCCTGGAACACTTGTTGGTTCTGCCGCATTTGATCTTTTCCCAATCCATGCTGTTTGTGTATTAATGCCAAAGGCTGGAGAATTGAAAAAGATAGCCGACTTAGGTGTTTGGCTGGTGGAGCTGTTTTGGTCTTTCTGGGCTTACATCTGGCTCTACATAATCCTCGAGGTAACTCAGGAAAAGTTTTATTCATGTGAACTTCCTCACATACATCCAAATTGTGATGAAACATATTCTTGCTTTCATCTTCACGCCTCCAATTATGTATGTTTCGAGCTCCTCTACTTTTATGTTTGTGGGCATAATACGAGATTTTTTTTTTACAATATTTGATGGACATTCATTGAGTTAGACTCGCCTACTGGAACTTAGGCAGAAAGAAACATGAGGGTTGAAAAGTATTTCTTTGCACTGCAGGTGTGGTCACCAAAGGTCATTACACTTTGGGAGGCCTTATTGACAGTACTGCAATATGGATTGCTTTTGCTGCATGCTTATGCCCAAGACAAGCGTTGGCCTTACTTGTCTTTACCTATGTGGGTTCCTTTTCCGAATTATTATTTCATTCTCCATAATCATGTAAAAGGATTGCCATTAATGATTCGGTCACTGTTTGTTTGTCTGATTATTGAAGTCCAAGAGGCGATAGACCAGATGAGTGGGTTCCAGAGGAGACTGATCCATCTAAAGATGATGACGATGTTTATGACGGGTATTCTGATATCATTCGAGCAGAGCCAGGAAACAGAAACATTGTTGATATTTTCTCAATTCATTCAACCAACGATACAGGTATTCGGTATTCACCTTGGTAACTGATCCATCAGTCTAAATATGATTAGGTAGGAAATTTGCTTAATTTCCTTAAAGAAGGATCATTGATCTTTTCATAACTTTGTAGCTGGTGTGGTTTAAAGCTCATGCTGATTAGCGGAAAGATGAACGAGTACAAAGCCTGCTAGGAATGACTAAAGGATTTTGAGCATGTATGAATTCATTGAACAAAGTTGCATTGAGGAAGACGCTCGCTATAAATCACCATCGCTTAATGCGTATAGTTTGTTTGTTCTGTATGTTTGGTGTGACTAAAGTATAGTTAGCATTGCCATAAATGATAAATCATTCCTTCACTATAATGGGAATTTGCAGGGGTAATCTATCATACTGTGTCAGATGCTCCACCTGAATCTTCTTATGAACCTTCCCGCAAAAAGGCTATTGCGAAGAATTCTAATGTTTTTGCCATCTGGAAACAGCAGTTCATGGACGCATTCACGGTATAATTTTCAATTCATGGGACAGTTATGACTTGTGGATTACATTTCATACTTAGTAGTCTGCCTTTTCACCATAATAATCATACACGCTTCTTTCTATGATTATTTTCACTGAAAATAAATTCCGAGAAGGCACCTAACAGCCAACTCAAGTTCTTCTTGCTAAGCTGATGTTGACATCAGTTGCTCATTCATATGTAGATATGAAAGTATTTGCTAATTTGTCTGCTTGACATTTTCAAAAGGTTTTCAATTTTAGTTTCATGTACCATTTTCCTGTTCGAACAGCTGGAAACATCAGAATCAAGGAAAGTGGACAGCATATATCTATGGATTGGAAAACTGTTTTGGCAATTGCTGCTTGCGCCTTGGAGAATTCTATTTGCGTTTGTGCCTCCTTGCCACATTGCTCATGGCTGGGTCGCCTTCATCTGCTCCCTCATGTTCATCAGTGGAGTTGCTTACATTGTAACTCTACTCACTGACCTTATAAGCTGCGTCACCGGTATAATCTTTCTTAACCTTTGAAAATCCAGATCCTGATAATCCACCACATTATAAGTGATCCAGACTCTGATAACTGTTCTCTTATTTTGCAGGAATAAATCCATATGTGATAGCATTCACGGCATTGGCCGCCGGAACTTCATGGCCAGACTTGGTAGCAAGTAAAATCGCCGCTGAGAGGCAACTAACTGCAGACTCAGCCATTGCAAACATCACTTGCAGGTTTGACTCTGCTTTCACTCCATTTCTTTTAATGCTCTTCCATCTCAATTAGGGGAACGCATGGGCGGGTACCCGGATTTTTAGGGTACTCGACCTCGACCTTGTTCCTATGGGTTTTCTTGGGCATTATCTCGTTTTCGAGCCCGTGAGCAAATTGTCTGAAGAATGATTAGTGCATTGTATTCTAATTGCAGCAACTCGGTGAACATCTACGTAGGGATAGGAGTGCCGTGGCTAATAGACACAGTCTACAATTATTTCGCATACAATGAACCTCTCTACATCCAGAACTCGAGAGGGCTAAGCTTCTCGCTTCTGATGTTCTTCGCGACATCGATTGGGTGCATCTCTGTTCTCGTGTTGAGACGATTGATTCTGGGAGCGGAGCTTGGTGGGCCCAGGGCCTGGGCATGGATCACTTCCCTCTATTTCATCCTCCTCTGGCTCGTCTTCGTTACCCTCTCCTCCCTCAAAGTTTCAGGCTTCATCTAAAGTAAAAGCAGCTGCTCCACCTTTCCAAGGCCAAATCTCTCTGCCTCTTTTCTCGGTGGTTTAGTTGTCGATTATCATTTTGATGTTTATACCGATGAATACTTGTAATTTAATCATTATATATATATATATATCATATACATAATACTTGAATTTGCTATTCCCCAACCCAATAATACTCCTTTTATTCAAAGGAAAGCGTACAATGTCGTGAGGAGTAAGGAATCAATTTAACAGAGAGAACAGACATCGACAAGAAGCAAAACTTCTGTCGTCTAAGCAAAGGCGGCACCAGCAGTGCAAGCTGTTGCAGGAACAGCTTCAACCTCCTGTCTCTTGGGAGAGCTGTACTTCTTGGTGATAAACCTGTTTTCAAGATAGACTCGGATTAGCTAAAATTATACCTAGAAAAAAAGAAAGAGAGGTTCTCACTTCTCACTCACCTGAAGAAATCCCTCCACATCAACTCGTACATCAACCAGTTCAGCCCAATGTCTCCTGCCCCCTTCCTGCAATACCAATGGTTATGAACCCAATGCACGTTGCCTCTATCATACCAGTTTTAGCAACTTGCCTGTATAAGGCTCATAATTGGTCCTGACATGGGCAGGCTCCTAACACAATCAAGAAACATCCTCAAGGTTCGCGGGGTGCTGTTTCAAAAGCCATACCTTGCAGTTACGGCGGAGGCAGCGCTCGAGACGGTTTTCTTCAGCTCGTCAAACATGGAACGAGGAGAGATGCACCCCATGGCCAACCATGGCGATATCTTGCACGAGAAATTTGAGCCATACACGCTGTTACTGTTGTTGCCCTTCGATTGAGCCTTGCACTCTGCTGCAAAGTTCTGTATCCTCTCCATTGCCTCTGTCTCTCCTCCCACCATTGCAGGTCTCCCCTCCTGCCATAAAGAAACCTTTAAACAATGAAACAGAAGAATATGTGGAAAAGGAAACAGTGGTAAACTGGATTTGTGCTGAAGGAGAAGATCCAGATCTCTTCTTCCTTCCCGACTAGCCCACAGACCCTCTGCAGGTAGGGTTTGATAAGATCGTTTACACTACAGTCAATGATAAATTGGACTCGATCCGAAGAATCAGGAGATATGCACATAACACTTTCTCCATAAGAAACATGTCAACCTCCAAGATTTTAGGCAGCGGGTGTGTGTTCACATGGAATTCGGATCTATTCACTCATGCAAATTCACACCTTTCTGGTCACCCTGGAAGCATCTAACAAGTTTCCACCTCTCTGCTTTTCTCTATGGATTCTTCAAGCACATGTCATACCCTAAACCCTAGAAATCATGAACTAGCGCACCCTAAACCACCACTGCAGAGAAACCAATGGTGGCATCTACCGAACATTAGATAAACACGGCATTCACGGGCAAAAGGGATAATCCCGAACCTGACTCGTTCTAGCGGTCGGATTGATCCCGAGATCCACCAGAGAAGGAATATCGCCGGGTTCTACGTCTCCCTGAGAAGGCAAACCCTTCAACTGATCCAAATCCGACATCAGCTGCCGAATCTCCAGACCCTTGACTTTATCCCTGAATGCACCGTAATTCGTCGGCATTTCGTCTAATTTAAACGGCAAATCGTCAATGTGATACAGCGTGCTTCCCCAGAAGTACTTCACTTCGACGCCTTCCTCCTTCATTGCCGCTTCTATCCTCTCCTCCGACTTCACCTCGTCGCGAGACGCTTCACGGTGGGCGTACACCGCGTCCGCTCCTACCGCCTTAGCCAATTCGACCAAAACGGACTCTGGTTTCCCGACACGAACGACGAGATCCGACCCTCTCGCTTGGAGATTCTTCCGGAGGTTGGAGACGGACTCGATCAGGAACTGGGCACGAAACGGCCCCGTCTTGTCGAACCCGGATGAGGATTTGCCATAATCTCTGGGGTCGAAGCAGTAGACGGGCAAAACGGAAACGCACTCGTCGTTGGCGGAGTTGAGACATTCGTTGTCGTGGACGCGGAGGTCATTGCGGAACCAGACGACAGCGGTGCGGCGGAGAGCAGCGGCGGAGGAAGGATCGACGGGGCGGCGAGGGACGAGGGAGAGAGGAGACAGCAGAGGATTGAGGAAGACGGTGGAGTTGAAGGAGATTCTGGAAGGAGAAGGAGAAGGAGCAGTGGAGAGAGAGAGATGGGTAAGAGAAGAGGCTTGCGTAGGGATTTTGACCTTGTGAGAAAATAACTGAGTAAATTTCGGGTGAAGGGAGAACTGGGTGTAGCTGGGGAAGAAGGTGGAGAGGGAGAGAGAGATTGAGGCAAAGGGTAAAAAAGGAGAAGAAGGGTCAATGGCGAGTGGGTCATGTTCTTCTGGGGATTTGGTCTCCGCGTTTAGGGTTTCTTGACGATTGTTGTCCATTTTTTTCAGGCGAACGGGTGAGTGAGTGTGCCTGAGAGAGAAGAACAGGATGGATGATAAGCCGTCGTCGATTCTGTTCCTCAAAGTTCATACCTTTTAGCCTTTTCAACAATCCTACTCCTTTATTACATAAAAAAAAAAACAAAAAACAAAAAACAACTATTATTTTTTAAATGGAGAAAGAAAAAAAAAAGAAAGCGAGGCCCCAATTGTTAAAAAGAACTAATCATTACATTCAATATTAATGAGAATCAGATTCCAGTTTTAATGATTAGTAAATTCTAATCTGTGATTCACTTATCCGGTGAATAAAATTATCTACAGAAACGTTGAATTTTCTTAACATTGCACCCCCGTCGACGATGAGATGGCCGCTGCCGCCCCTTGCGAGCCGGTAGAAGCTCGTGCAACGTCGTGTTTGGGAGCCGGGAAAGTGATGGAAAATCGAATACTGTCAAATTTCAAAATTTTCTTCCCGGAAAACTTCGGGAGGAAATAGAATGAAAATGCCGTCACAATGGCAATGCTGTAATTTCTTCAAGGATGAGGGGTTTCGCTGGAAATGCATTTGTCATTTGAAGCCAAACCAAAAAGACCTTTGTTCCACGTGTATGGTTACGATCAAGTCCACACCGACATACCTTGCACTCGTATGCACCAGAGAATAGCCGGACACAAACCCTAGTTCCTCCCCTCTTTCAAACATTTGCTTCATTCCGAGCCGCTTCACCAGTCCCTGCAACAATGGTATGCCTCTTTGCCTGCATCGAATCCCTTGCAATCGCCATTTCAGTTCTCATGTTATTGTTTCATTTTTATATCTCTTTCACTTCCGTTTCTGTGCACCATCTCAGGGTATTGATTTGAAGGCCGGAGGTAAGAGTAAGAAGACGAAGCGCACGGCGCCGAAGTCTGACGATGTCTATCTCAAGCTCCTCGTCAAGGTACACTTTGGGTTCTCGTCTTCAGTTTCTTAGTATGGGTCCGGATTCGATCCGTTGTCGATATTTCCTGTAATATTCGAAATGGTCATTAGATTTGCTACTCCCTTTTTTGTATACCCATGATCTGATTCATTTGGTTCGTTTCGTTTTCCGTGACGGCGATTAGCTGTATCGGTTTCTAGTGAGGAGAACGGGAAGCAAGTTCAATGCTGTGATTCTGAAGCGCTTGTTCATGAGTAAAGTGAACAAGCCGCCATTGTCCCTCTCTCGTTTGATCCGCTATATGCAGGGAAAGGTACTTCCTTTTGTTTCTGGATGAGGTATTGTTAGGTTGTGAGCTTGTGATCTGAAGCTATGTGTTTTCCTTTTGGGGTTTGATGGAGAATAGAAGGACAAGATTGGTGTTATTGTTGGAACTGTGACCGATGATGCGAGAGTGTACGAAGTGCCAGCTCTTAAGATCACGGCATTGAGATTCACGGAGAGGGCAAGGGCCAGGATCGAGAAGGCTGGTGGGGAGTGCCTCACATTCGATCAGCTCGCTCTTCGTGCCCCTCTTGGCCAGAACACGGTATACATTTTCTTACCCTTTATCCTTCTTTGATTAACTTAGCAACTAGCAAGGTTTTTTATTATTTCTTTCTTGTTGTTGCTGGTAACAACATGGAAACTTGTCAGCTACACAGCAGTATAATTCATCTAATCTACTCTTGTATTAGAAACAATGGTAGGGATAATATGACATGTCCTGAACATGCTGAACTTACATATGGCTGTTACTGTTTACCTCATTTGGCGTCGGGGCCATCCAGCTCTCTCTATGATCTGTGCTATTTGTTGGATCGACCAGTTGCTGTTGATTATCTCCATTGATTAAGAATATTGGGTGGAAATGGAATGGTGCAGGTTCTACTGAGAGGCCCTAAGAATGCACGTGAAGCGGTGAAGCACTTTGGCCCTGCTCCTGGTGTTCCACACAGCCACACCAAACCGTACGTCCGTTCAAAGGGCAGAAAGTTTGAGAGAGCTCGAGGTAGGAGAAAGAGCAGAGGCTTCAAGGTTTAAGCCCCGACCAAATCAAAATCACTTGGATTATGTTATAAACTCCTCCAGTTCCCTTACGGTCAGTCAACTTTGTGTCATCTTCCTGCGTTCATTTTGCAAGCTTACGACTTTCAAGCTCTGTTGAGTTACATACATGGCGTACCCTTTATCCTATATGATGGGACCTTTTTCCCGGAATATTTCCCTTTTTTGTCTTAATCACCAGTTTGAATGAAATCTAGATGATGGCATTGTATACTCCATGCGTTGATCCATTTTTGTTAAGAGTTCCTGCGTGTAGTAAGAAAGTCTCTAGCTGCGTGTCAAAGGTATGAACCGTTGTTGTCAACTTACGATTGAGTATGATATTCTCTCAATCGGTCCAATCTTATTCTGTTCGTATATGTATATTATTCTCATTTTCCATAATTACATCTAGGGATGGGCGATCGGGCGGGTTCGGTTATTTCGGATTTAAAATATTCATATCCAATTGGTTATATTTTTTTAATCGGTTCGGGTTCGGATCGGGTTTGGTTCGGGTTATCCAAATAAAAAAACGATAAAAAAAAATCAAACTATTATCTTATAAAAATAACAAAAGTAACATTAAAATGCATGCATATTTTATTTTTTTATATACCATGGTTATAAAACAATCATTATACTAATTTTTCTAATTAGATTTAGAATATATTATATATTAATTGATGATATATGGATAGAAAATGGATATATTCAGTTATGGTTAATTCGAGTTCAGTTTATTCGGTTTACGGTTATTTTGGGTTTGGGTATTTTGGGTTTGAAATATTCATATCTAATCGGGTATATTATTTTAATCGTTTCGGTTTGAGTATATATTGGTCGGGTTCGGTTCGGTTATTTCGAATTCGGTATTTTGTCCACCCCTAATTACATCCCTAATATCAATGATTTCATGAGGGGTTTCGCTGGAAATGCATTTGTCATTTGAAGCCAAACCAAAAAGACCTTTGTTCCACGTGTATGGTTACGATCAAGTCCACACCGACATACCTTGCACTCGTATGCACCAGAGAATAGCCGGACACAAACCCTAGTTCCTCCCCTCTTTCAAACATTTGCTTCATTCCGAGCCGCTTCACCAGTCCCTGCAACAATGGTATGCCTCTTTGCCTGCATCGAATCCCTTGCAATCGCCATTCCAGTTCTCATGTTATTGTTTCATTTTTATATCTCTTTCACTTCCGTTTCTGTGCACCATCTCAGGGTATTGATTTGAAGGCCGGAGGTAAGAGTAAGAAGACGAAGCGCACGGCGCCGAAGTCTGACGATGTCTATCTCAAGCTCCTCGTCAAGGTACACTTTGGGTTCTCGTCTTCAGTTTCTTAGTATGGGTCCGGATTCGATCCGTTGTCGATATTTCCTGTAATATTCGAAATGGTCATTAGATTTGCTACTCCCTTTTTTGTATACCCATGATCTGATTCATTTGGTTCGTTTCGTTTTCCGTGACGGCGATTAGCTGTATCGGTTTCTAGTGAGGAGAACGGGAAGCAAGTTCAATGCTGTGATTCTGAAGCGCTTGTTCATGAGTAAAGTGAACAAGCCGCCATTGTCCCTCTCTCGTTTGATCCGCTATATGCAGGGAAAGGTACTTCCTTTTGTTTCTGGATGAGGTATTGTTAGGTTGTGAGCTTGTGATCTGAAGCTATGTGTTTTCCTTTTGGGGTTTGATGGAGAATAGAAGGACAAGATTGGTGTTATTGTTGGAACTGTGACCGATGATGCGAGAGTGTACGAAGTGCCAGCTCTTAAGATCACGGCATTGAGATTCACGGAGAGGGCAAGGGCCAGGATCGAGAAGGCTGGTGGGGAGTGCCTCACATTCGATCAGCTCGCTCTTCGTGCCCCTCTTGGCCAGAACACGGTATACATTTTCTTACCCTTTATCCTTCTTTGATTAACTTAGCAACTAGCAAGGTTTTTTATTATTTCTTTCTTGTTGTTGCTGGTAACAACAACATGGAAACTTGTCAGCTACACAGCAGTATAATTCATCTAATCTACTCTTGTATTAGAAACAATGGTAGGGATAATATGACATGTCCTGAACATGCTGAACTTACATATGGCTGTTACTGTTTACCTCATTTGGCGTCGGGGCCATCCAGCTCTCTCTATGATCTGTGCTATTTGTTGGATCGACCAGTTGCTGGGAGGGACGGCGGCGGAGACTGACGGAGACAATGAGGATAGAGACATGAGGATAGGGAGAGATAGAGTGGCGACGAGGAACAAGAGTTTTCGAGACATTGATCAGTGCGGCCCTGGGCGGTAACCTCATTGCCTTGGCCTTGACGAGGCTGACGTGGAAATAAATTGCAATTTTGGAAGATGACGGCGGCATTTCCGAATATAAAATCGACCGTACCGTAAACATCGCATTCACGGTAAAACTGTCTAAGGGAATGTGTGTATAGAGTGTCTTGATAGGCTTCGAAGCTGCAACTGTAGAACACGTTGAGGTCTCCGCCGCTCCTCAACGCCACGGCCTGACCCTTTGTCGGCCCCGCCGTGTTCCTCATCGTCATGTTTACACCTATGAAGTTCGGTGCCACCACAACTGCCAAAGAGTGCAAAAAAAAACATATTTAATGTTATTTTTTTATATAAAAAAAAAAGATAGTTGGATTCGTTACTTAGTGGTCGTGAATAAAATTATATTGATTTGGAAATTTTAAACTTAGTTTATTCAGATGCGGTGACAGCCATAGGTGGGAGAGGACTTGATTTTCCACGTGGGGCCATGAAGATAAGCTGACGTGGAATTAGACTTTCGGTGGACGTAATATGTGCATTGAAAGGAACATCGAAAGAAAGTAAGAGTGCCAATTACTTTGATGTAATATAATTAATTAATCATATAGAAAAAGGAGCTTTTGCATGGCGAGATGAATCAACTTTAAAATTGAAAAAAAAAAGGCTGTCTTCCACATGTCTTCTTATTTTCAACGATGTTGATTCGGGGAGACATATGTTATTCTTAAAAGATTTTAATATATATTTTGATAGGGTTGACCATAAATTACTTCATATCTAATAAAAATAAAATGCGAAAACTTCATTTGTAAAATATGTTAATTTTTATGTGACCCAAGTTGTCAATTTAATGTTTTTTACCACGTGAAACTATGTGCACATGTCATTTTTTTTGGATTAATGTTAAATTAAAGGGTAAATTAAAAAAAAAATGGTGCGGATTAAATATCTACTTACTAAATGTGGCGGAATTGAAGGTGGTCCATCCATCACCGACGCTACGGTTTCCGGTGATGATCGTACGGTTGATCCCGTCGCCGATCATCATCAAGTACTTCTTGTTCTTTGGGATCGACACGTATTCCTCGTACACTCCCTCCATCACGTATATCAAGAAGTAGCCGTTAGCGCCGTTTGTGTTGTTGGGCGCTGCTGATACGGCGTCGTTTATGCTGCTGAAGTTCCCCGTTCCGTCTTGACTCACTATCACGGTGTCGCTCACCATAACGCTGAGTGCGTCTCCGTCCGTTTGGAGAAGCTTTCTGTGGCCAACGGTGTTGTAGACGGCGCGCGCTCTTTCCGTCATCTTTAACGGTAGTTGACCGTTACGGAAACCCTTGAACCGGTTGAAGCGTGCTTGCGGTTGCCAAACCGGTCTTGATCTCTTCCTCCTCGGCACCCAACCTTTACGTAAACAGTTAATACCGTATTAACTGGATATATATATATATTGTATATATTGTATGTGTATATGTATGTGTGGTTCATCTGTTAAAATTCAAGAGTATAATAAACAAAACAACTATCAATAAAAAAATACAAGTATGTATAAGATAAGTTTTTATTAAAGCTATTAAAGTTTTTATTAAAGTTTTAACCAAAAAAAAAAGTTTTTATTAAAGCTATCGTGTGCTGTTATTATATAAATATTAGACTTTATTAATTAGATCGTTCCTGATGCACTCAACGTAAATACAAACTTAAACCTTTTTAATTAGATTATGAAAATGTTTTTATTTTGTACAATATTACGTACATGTATATCAAATTCAAAGAAACATGAGCATTACGTGAAACCTACGATATTTATACCGAATACTAAGTTAAATATTTATTTTCGGAAAAAAAAATATATAACACAACTACAAAATTCATCAAATTCTCATATATAAAATCCAAAATTAATTAATTACCTAGATTATATGATTAATATATGTAAAAAAAATATGAGAAACTTGAGGAAATATACCTTTGGAGACGAGGGCGAGAGAGACACCGTAGAGTTTGGTATCGTTGAAAAGATCGCCGGAGAGTCCATTTTCCGACGCGGTGGCTTTAAGGCCATCAAGACACGTCTGCTCGTTCGTAATCACAGCACTGAGAAGCGTTTGAACGTCCTCACCCGTCGAATACGACAGCGTTTTGTTTGTGGAATCCACTGTTTGGAAGCTGTTCAAGAGGAAGTCCATCGTAAAGCCAGCAAGCAGACGACAGTCCTCGAGCGCCCTGACCGCCGCAATCGGGAGGCTTCGACGTTTTCGGCTGAGTTGGAAGTCTATCAATGACATGAACCGTCGAGCGCGTGAAAGGGACCGACGGAGAGAGAAACGTCCGTACGAGTATATATCGCCTGGTTGGTTCGGGAGTACGGACCGGCAGTAAGACGGGTCGGGTGCGTATTTACATACACTGGATGCTGACGTGGCGCTCCCCGGTGACGGAGGTACGGCGGCGGAGACTGACGGAGACAATGAGGATAGAGACATGAGGATAGGGAGAGATAGAGTGGCGACGAGGAACAAGAGTTTTCGAGACATTGTTTTTTTTTTTTTGTTTTTGTTTTTTGATTTAAGTGTGGAGAATTTGGAGTTGTGTGTTGGGTTATAAATAGGGGGGGAATTTTAGATGCTAAAAGGATTGACAAGAATATTTAAATCTTGAATTTGTACACTTGTCTTTAATTGACCATAAGTAGAGGTTGAAAATATAGTCGGTGTATTGTTTTATAAGAAAAAAAAATGTTGGATTTGTTGAAATATGGATAATGTCCGTGTTGACTAAATAGATGATTTACATATGATTTCAATTTTGTGTTATTATTACCAATAGCCAAACCATATTATAATGTATATATTATTAATTGTGCATATACCGTATGTATGCGATATTGTAAATGTATTTATATACTTTTGTAAGATTAATGGTCTGCAATCTAATAAACACATCTTTAATAATACATCTCTCCAATAATATATGAAAGTGCTACATATTACTATGGGATATTTCAGTTAATTTTGATTCATTAGCATATGCTATTAATTAATGACAATTTTTATTTTACATTCGGGTTATCGTAACAGCAGTTTTTATATATTTATATGAGTTGCGTTTTAATTAGATGCTACCTTTTTATTTGTTAAATAGTATTTCTCGATATAAATTCCTAGATTACGTTGAATACAATATATGCAATGTTAATTAATTGCCTTTCTAATCCAACTGTGGACATTTGAAATAAAATAATAACTTGAAAACAACATTATTGGCAATAAAATAGACATAATTAACGTCACGAATTTCAAACATACCAACTTGGTATATGCTAATTAATACTATATAATATATATATACACGGATATATAGATCTCAAACCAAGCAAGTAATGTAAATTAAGGTGTAAACCGAAACTAAATACAAGAATCGATTCCCAATGCAGATTCCGCTATAATTTAATAAAGTCTGCATTTGGAAAATAAAAAAAGTCAATTTTGCTCGACTTAATTTGCATTAATATAGACACGAGATATGAGGTTGTCAACCTACGTTAGGCATCCGGAGAAATTTCGATATTACTTGGCTACCTAAACGAAAACCGTGTTGGTAAAACAGCACATTAGAGAATAAATTTATTCCTATTCAAATAAAAACGAAAGTCAAAATCTTGACATGTTGATTTGTAGACTCTTGCACCCACCAAAATTATTCCTTTCAAAAACATGCAAAAAAAATTGTAAATTTTCTTATCAGATGTATAAATAAATGTATATATGAATACGGTTCTAAATATATTACAGTACAATTATATCTATTATTAAAATTATGAAGATTTAATTTGATATATATTTATCATGTTCTATTTTTCTCTACTCATAGCATAATATTTTTTTTAATTCATCAATCAATTTTTTTTACTATATATATATATTAATATATGTATTTGGTTTCGAGATAATATATCGAAAGAAAAATAAAGTAATTTATTTCCTGCCATAACTATGTTCCCAAGTCAGCTAAATCAACGCTGACTCATATCAATGAACTAATTTATAATTATATCATATTGATATTAAATGTTATACGAGAAAAATAATGACATTTAATTGCTCAAATTAAATGAATGTATCTCTGTTGATGGTTTGCTTTTGGCTCAGAGGGCAACAGAATAATGGATATGTTTTTATTAATGGAATATGTTTGCATAATATTGGGGACAAAATATCGAATATATAATTCTGAATAATATGATGATATAATGATAGCATATCCTTTAAATGAATCCGGTAGGTACCCATATGAAAGAAAAACATGTTCATGTATTTATTATGATTATCAGTTCGTCGTTTCTAATTTAATATCGAAAGTCAAAGATTTTCGTATAAAGAAGTAAAACTCTAATATATATATGGTTTATAAATCTCATTTTATTATTCAATTTTTATTAGATGGAGTGCATGATAACAAACATTCCAACGCATTTATATTTGCCGTATAGGTTATAAATGTATGATCATTCAAGCCATTGAGATTCCTAAGCAATTTAAAAGACTATTTGATAAAACCTTAAAACTAAATTTGGCAGGACAAAGACCTTGACGTTTATTACAACACTTCTTCTTTTTTTTTTCTTCAAAAACTTTACCCGATCATTAGGGATAAACGTTTCGGTATTCGGTTCGTATTCAGTTCGGAAATGGTAATCTCGGTTCTATATAAAATATGTATAAATTGGTTATTATATAATATTCGATTCGCTTACGGTTTTTATTAAGAAAGTTTTAGATTTTTTTAAAGAAATTTTTAATTTTTTGAGTTTTTTTAAAATTCGATTTAATTCTAAAAAATTCGATTTTATAAAAAAAAATTACCATTCGAGATTCAACTCGAAAACGGTTCCATATTTTCGGTTCAATACGGTTCACCATACTAAAACGTACCGACGACATTCAAAGGAAAAGAAGCAGAGATCTTGAAACGCTGCCGTTTTCTTTAAAGATTTATTTGAGACCGGGGGACAAGGGAACGATGAAACGCCACCGTTTGCGTAATTTGAAATTAATAATCGAAAGACTTTGTATTGATTATTTTAATATATAGTTTTGTTTAGATACATTAATTACAGTTCCATGTGCCTCTTTGTTCTGTGCATATTTAAGGAAGGTTTCAACTTGTACTAATTGTCGTTAAAAAAAAACACGAGTTGATGTGATGTCAATTAATGAGAAAAAGAATTATACATTAAATTAATGGAAGCTTACTCTACTAGTTGGTATTTTTATTGAAAGCAACAATTTTCTAGGGTTGCAACACTGTTGAATTTTGAAAAAAGTTATATCTATTGTAATGCAATCTTAGACTTGTTGATTTTGGAAAAAAAAAATATATTATTCGATTGTTAAATCAATTTTTTTTATTTAATTAATGTTTTATTCGCATTAATTTTAATACAAGTTATATCCAATTTTTCAATTGATTTCAGTTATTGAAATATGGTTATGTATTCTTCTAATTGATTTGGTATTATCTTTTGCAAGTACTCACCCATAGCCTAGTGTTTACTAACTTACGCAAGAGAAATATTATATTTAAACTTGGTAAATTGGAAACCGGAGGTCGCGAATTTTTTGGAGGAAAAAAATATATTTATGTGATGTATTATAAAAGAAAGATAATATGTAACCTGGAACTATAATATATGTATGTATTTTGATTACAAGGTTTCATGTAAATGTAACAGAAGCCGGGATGAAAACAAATATGATTGGCTTTTAAAACCCCGGTGAATTTTTATGGTTTTAACATTTGAGGTCTGAGTTAACTGCCACACGCGTTAATATTTCATTTGAACAAAAAAAAAAAAAATGCCGCACGTGTGACTTTTTCAAGCAGTTTTTCACAAGAGCATGTTCGGTGAGGTAAGGTACTGTTGGAATTGAATCCATATATAACGAGCTTGTCAGGCCCATTTACGGTTAAGGCCCATTAACTAGCCCATATCGATGAACCGCGTCAAAGAAAATATGTTGTTCTTCGTAACATTCCGATCCAAAGACATTTTCTTAAACAAATCTAGCACATCTCTTAGATCAATTATAGTATACATATATGTAGAAGATTTACATCAATGATATAAATATCAATTTTTTTTTTATCTCTTTATTTTGTTTAAGAAATTGTGAAAATGGCAAACCGCCAAATTTTGGAAACAATCGTAAAAGAACATCCTGTAGAAAAATAAAATGCGGAAATAAAATAAGACAAATAGAAAGGAACGAAATTACTTTTATTACTACATCTCTTCTTCTTCTTGTTTCATTACAATAAAAATAATTCACATATTTATAGGAAAATTAACAAATGAAATAAAAGGAAATATAGATATAACGGAAATAAATATGATTCACAATATTTAACATAATATTGTGTTCCTCCAAAATCTAGATTTTCCTCAAATCATATATTCATTTTCCTACTTCAACATTCCCCCTCAAGATTGATTTTGAAAGAATGCAAAAATCAATCTTGAAAAGATAATGCGATAAAAATCCATAGACATTTTCATTGTCTTTTGAAAAATCCATAAACACCAAATTTAGTTCTTTTAGAGAATATTACCCATGTTCAAATCACTTCGCTTGACTTTGAAGTTCTACCTTTTACTCTTTTTGTCATAGCACCTCGCTTGATCTTAGAGTTTTTAGGTTTGACTTCTTTTTGTCACAGCACCTCGTTTGATTTTGGGATTTTTACTCCTATTTGAACGATTTGGATATATGAACATCCAAAACTAAAAAAAAAGAAGAGATCGACAAAAAAAAGAAGAAAAGAGAAAAGAACGGGAACATTTTTATTGCTACATCTCTTCTTTCTCCTTGTTTCATTACAATGAAAATAATTCACATATTTATAGGAAAATTAACAAATGAAATAAAAAGAAATATAGATATAACGGAAATAAATATGATTCACAATATTTAACATAATATTGTGTTCCTCCAAAATCTAGATTTTTCTCAAATCATATATTCATTTTCCTACTTCAACATAGAGTTCGTGATGAGGTCATCGACATAGATGAGCTAAACAAGGAGCAAGCGGAGCAAGGAAACCATGGAACGCACAAAGGAGCTGAGGAGCACAAAGGAGCCAAGGAGGAGGACAAGCAAGGAGAGACAACCAATGAACCAGTCTTTCCAATCATTCCTGATCCACCACTTACAAGGGAACGAGCAAGAAGCCTGCGTTCAAGAATCAACAAGTTCGTGGCCAAGACCCTTGAAGACAATCCAAGAACCGAAGAAGCTTGCGGATTAAGCAACAAGAGCCTGCTCGTTTTTGAGCTCTTGTTGTCCAACACCTGATTCAACATCATTCGTTGTGGAACACCTGAACAGCCACGACCCTACCTGAATTTTGTTGCCACAACAAGCTCTTGAAGTCAAGAAGTCTGATCCCAATCCCTCATAACCGTTAGAGAATCCTGGAGCATCATTCATGGGAGCTTTGGCTAGATTTCTGCAGAATTGAAGACTTACCATAGCTGAATTGGAGATTGATTTCTT